TATTATTGTTGTTTATAATTTATACAATTAATCTCCCTATGATTCGACCTCGGTCTTGCCGGGTTATTTATTACTTCAACACTCTTGCACTTGGGAAAAGACATCAATCTTTTGATCGTGTCAGCTATTAGACACATATTTATAGGAAATTATGTTAGCTTTCCAGGTCATTAAAGAACAGCTCATTTGGACATCTGAGTCAAAAGTTATGAGCAAAACATCAAAAGTTGTTCTAGAAAATCAAATCAGGTTAGCTTTGAAATTACTTTGATGCATGTTTTTCTTCCTCATGTATGAGTTGTCTCTTTCTTTTTTTGACCAAAAATAATGTAACAATGTCCCCTCTAGCTTTTCATAAATATGTTTGCCTTCTTGGATACATGGATTACTCAAAATAAATCAAATGTTATTTGTTGTGTAGACATGTAAAATCATGGATTGGGCTGATTTGAAGACTGATTTGAGGTTGAATTTAAGGATAATATAAGGATATAAATATACTTATTATTTGGGCTAAAATTAACATTTAAACCTTGAGTATTTGATGATTGACATGTAAAATCATGGATTGGGCTGATTTGAAGACTGATTTGAGGTTGAATTTAAGGATAATATAAGGATATAAATATACTTATTATTTGGGCTAAAATTAACATTTAAACCTTGAGTATTTGATGATTGAAGTTTGCACACAATATAAGATAAGTTTGGGTTTGAAATAGATCATATGATAATCTTTTATAGGATTAGAGTAGAATTGATTTTTGGGGCAAATTTGAAGCATTTATTTGAACCAAGATTTACTTCCATCTTCAACTAAATTTCTCTTTAATTCTTTGTTTCGAATTTCGACATTAAATTTTTTGAAATAATCCATTTAAACTCCAAAAAACCTATCAAAACATTAAAAGAAACTTCATTACTAAAAAACATATTAATTATTATAAAAAATCCAAATAAAAATAATAAATACAAATATAAAATAAAATACTTAATGATATTTTTAATATACAATTAGTACTTGAAAAGGATGATTATCGGTTTGAATACCCCCTTAGTCAATCCATTAGCTAAGACACACAAACACACACAATACAATGACGCATGTCTTATGGCTTCACACCACGGGGTTTGAAATAATCCATTTAAACTCCAAAAAACCTATCAAAACATTAAAAGAAACTTCATTACTAAAAAACATATTAATTATTATAAAAAATCCAAATAAAAATAATAAATACAAATATAAAATAAAATACTTAATGATATTTTTAATATACAATTAGTACTTGAAAAGGATGATTATCGGTTTGAATACCCCCTTAGTCAATCCATTAGCTAAGACACACAAACACACACAATACACATAATACAATGATGCATGTCTTATGGCTTCACACCACGGGGTGTGTATACTTTCAATATGTAAATCGAGTACAATTTGAATTGATGGAATTCAAGACAAGATCAATTTCTTAAATGATTTTCTTGATGCAAAAGGTTATGATGCATCTGCTAAAGATATTAATATTTGTTGATGCTATATTTATTGTTATGTTTTTAATATTTGTTCTTGATTATCAAATACAATACATAGTATAAAATCAAATACAATACATAGTGTAAGTATATGAATGTTGTCATTTCATCACAGTCACTCTTTCATAAAATCCGTATGTGGTTATGTTTTTGCATGAAAGATCCAGGAGGGTAGGATAGGTAATTTAATCCAATCCGAAATTATTATATGTATATTATCTCATTTAAAGTATTTTTAATATAGTTATTTTAGTATATAAATAATGAGTAACAAGAAACAAGTATGTATAAATATTATTAAATTTATTCGGATTTTATTGAAAAGTATTTATATATATATATATGAATAATAATTAGATAATAAATATCTAAGACCTTATAAATTTATAAATTTATAGATTAATTGGGATTAAATCTATTTTTTTAAGGATAATTCTCAAATGCATTCATTCTAATTAAATACGTTTTAGAGTTGATTCCAAAATTCAAAATCAAGAAGAGAACATTCCCTTTTATCTATCCCCGTATGTAATTAGATGGAAAGTAAAACTGTTAACTGCAATAATTATCAGTTACCAATTTTATTTTTTTTTAATTTTAGGTCTTGAATGAAAAACATGGGAATGTGTATTTCATAATTAATTAACATTAGATGCAACGCAACCCAACCCAACCCAACCCAATTCAACTAACCCAAGCAAAGCAAAGCCAAGCCTCGTCCAGCCCGGCCTTACCCAAGCAATCCTTCTCCAGTTCTGGTCTTGTATTTCGCCGTTTCTCTCTTAAATCCTAGGTAAACCCTCAACAGGCAGGCTTACTTTGATTTTCATTCCATCAATTCAATGGCATCCTCCTCCTCATCTTGCAGGAAATTTATCTCCAAATCATCTCTATCGTCCATCAAATCAGCCATCAGATCATCTAAGGCTCCTAAATCTCCCTTCAGCCCCACCAGATCTGCCACCGCTTCTCACTTCCTTCTCCCATCCAAACCACCAACCTCCTCTCGATTCTCCTTTTCCAGGTTAACTCACTCTTACGGATACACGTATATATCTATAACTTTATGTATGTATATATAGGGTGTGCTTTAAATTTATTAACTCATTGATTTTGTGTGTCCGTAGGGCACCATGTGAGCTGGGATGCGTTCAGTCGCTGCTGCCACTACACAGCGCGGTGGCGGCGTCGAGGATGACATCATGTTTAAGTACCACATCCAGGAATTTCCGAGCGCTCTCTCAGGGTACACTCTGCTGCACCTCTCCCGGCCTCTAATAGTAGCTTTTATTGTTTCTCTAGGGAGTATCCCCCCCCCCCCCCCCCCCCCCCCCCCAAAAAAAAAATAAAAACCCTCAGCTGTTGAATTGAATTTCTCTTCTTCATTCTGGAAATGTTTAATTTCTCCTATGTTTTAGTGAATGAATAATGAAGCGTTTAATTCAATTCGATTTATCTTTTTGAAATTGGAATTTAAAATTCCAATGGATGTACTACTGAAAATTGCTGAAAAAAGAAGTTTTTGCAGTTGAAGAATTACAAGTTTAGCTTGGGTTTGACGTGGCGAGTTAATGCTTGCTTAGTATAGAAATTAGATCTATTAATTAGAAATTGAAGAGTCTGGTGCTGGCGCTAAAATTAGGATTCTTCATCCAGGTTGCCAGATTGTATCTTTGCTTGAGCTTGTTGGGCTCATTTTTTGTACGTTAAGCTGGCATTACGTTGTTAAGACAAATTGAGGGTGTCGAGCGGGATGAGAATTGAGAGTGCTTTAATCGGGTTTAACGCAATCTGACTGGAATATTTGGTTCCTGCAGGCACATAATTCAAAGAAAAAAACCGGGAACTTGTTGTCTGCATCTTTGTCAAGTATGAAACTATGAATGCTTTTTTAATCATCTTAAAAATATTTGGTTATATCAAAATGGAGGCCTTCGTTCCGTGTTGATGTATGCCCATGTCAATGCTGCTCTCTAAACTTGTTTGGATGATGTTAAACTAGCCCTTAAACGTAACATGCATGGGCTTCCTTACGTCAGTGTAACTTGGGAGCAACCAGTGTTGTTCTTGATTTGTTAGAATCCACTTTCTGTTTTATTGGTAATTTTTTCTGGATAGTTTGCAATCTTTTCAGCTAAACTCAATTTTAACTTTCTGTACTAAAAGTATTCAATCATAGGATAACTGGTTTCTATACACATCTGGTTACCAACCAAAACAATAAACTTTGATGGTTTTTAGAATAATTTATTCTATTGATACAATAAAAAATTGATATTTTCTTTCAAGTACAAGAGTGTCAAAGTAATAAATAACTTAGCAAGAATATGATCGAACTATAGGGAAGTTAATTATATACATTATAAATAACAACAATCCAATAACAACAATAATAATAATAATAGTAATAGTAGTAAGAATAATTATAATAGAAGAAAAAAAAAGTTGATGATAACTTTAAGATGAAAAATCAATGTGAGGATTAAACAATGATAGAAACAAATATCAAGATTAGAGGATTTACTAATGGTATTTTAAATAAATATAGTATAAATTTTTTTTATTACTCAATTAAAAACTACACATAAAGGAGGTTCCATTCAGATTATAAATTGTTAACATATTAACATTAGTTATCTTATTCAAATAATGTTAATACTTGTAAACATTGTTAGATATTTATGATTATAATCTATGTTAACAACAAAGCAAGTTCTTTTTATAACACAAGTGTCGGTTATACCATATAGTTGGACTATAAAAGTGTCAAGTGTTATACAATACAAATCTAGATTAACCATTTAACAAGCAAAATATTAAAAGTGAACAAGATAACAAATACAAAACATGTTAGTATTAAATATTAAAGTTCATATTGTGTTTACATTATATTTATTATTACACCATTAGTGTAATATTTTCTCTTTGATATAATAAGCTTAGCTAAACATAAAAGAAGAGAAACAATAATAAACAACATAAGAACATAAGTATAATAAAGGAAATGAAAAATAAAAACAAGAGATTAAGGAAAATATAACATGAAATAAAACTTAAATATTACAAAAATATAAAGAAAGAAATAAAGAGCATAATCTTGATCTGAAGACCAAGATGTCTAAATGCATGACAAATGCTTTCTTTTATAGGTTAAAATTAGAAACTATTGGTTTGATGACTAATTGATGAGTGGGTGACTAATTCTTGACTTAGTGAAATCCTTATCCCCTTGTCTACCAAAAAGGTAATTGATAACGTTAGAATTTAAACCAACTTTACTTATGAAAGTTCTAGAAAATTGTCTTAGCTTTCTAGGAAAAAAATTAAGGTCATTTGGACTTCTAGAACTCGAGATATGGGCTGAACACTGAATAATGTATAGGCTGCAAGATAGATTCAAACTTCTACATTATTGCTAAGATTTGGACTTTCAAACAGCATAATTGAATCTTACTTTTTCCATGAAAGTTTTAGACCTATGTCTCTTATCTTTTCATCCATATAAAGCAAATCTAAGTATGAGATCTACAGCTCTAGATATGATCCAATTACCCAACAGTGTTCCAGTTTGGACTACACTAATATCTCTTTTCTAAGTTTGACCTTCTCTTTGTCCTTTCAATTTCAATACTTCAACTCATAATCAATCATTTCATTTATGTGATAGGTCTGCATTTAGGATGAATATTTACCATAAATTAAATGTATTTTATGGAATCAGACTTGTATTATAAAACATGTTTTTGTTATTCTTGTCAATATTTTAATTTAAAATGAGAAAATCAACTGCAATTTATTCTAAAGAACAATTCCTTTATAAATTATAGTAATTTTCAGAATTTTATATATACATAAGCTAGTGGAGTGAAGGGGAAAAAAATTCACAATGATTCAACACTGAAATTATCTTTTAAGGTAGATTGGGGCTTATTTTGACACCTTCGATGGAACCACTATGAAAATTGGATGAAATCTTTTAATTGTCATTAAAATTGGATGAATGGAGGGATGATATTGTCCAATATCCATTAAGTCTAAGGTAAACTTGATAAAATCAAAAGATATGGGATTCTATTGATAATGGAGTAATCTGCAGGGGCTAAATTGAGGTTTCTTCTTTCTTCTTTCTTCTTCTTGTTTTTCTTTTTTCTTTTTTATCTTTTTTTAAAATAATTAATAAATTAATTTCAATCATCTATGCATGACGTGCATAATTTTAATTTTATTTATTGTATTTGAATGTAGCGGCCCATATGAGAAAATTGACATGAGATCTGGAAAGTTTGATGGTTATGATGCTATTTTCCTTAGCCCACACAAATTTCTTGGGGGGCCTGGATCGCCAGGAATACTTTTGATGAGAAAAGCCCTTTATCAATTGCGATCTTCTGCTCCATCAACTTGTGGAGGTGGAACTGT